TGTGCTCAATTTTTTAATTGAGTTTTTTAAAAAAAAAAAAAAAATTGGACTCAAACAGGGATTGATAATTAGTCGTTAAGAGCATATCTAAAAAAAATTTTAAATATAAGACTCTCTATTTTAACGAGTCAATATTTAAAATTATTCTCCAAAATACTCTTTAAATTACCATTTTAATTTAGAGAGTGAGGGTTTCACTTTCAAAATTTAGAAGGTCAAACTCTTTATAATTAAATGTATTCAAAATATTTTAAAATTCAATGAAAGTAAATAATATAATAATTTGAAGGAAAACTAATGAAAATAAAAAAATAGGGAAAAAAGGGATTTTTTTAGAGTAGCAAAATTAAGTGTTAAATATAAATATATTGTAGGAGTACATTCAATTTTTTAGTCTCTAAATTTAGAGTAATAATATTTAGTTTCACTGGAGTTATAACATCGGTTTATATGATACTTACGTGACATTAAATAAAATGAGTCATTTAATTTTACATTTTATTTAGCCTATAACCTAACACAATAAAAATTGATAATGTAACCTCATTGAGACTAAATAACATTATTTCTAAATATATAGATGTTCTCTAAATTATAAAATATGTTCTATAAAAATAGAAAGTCTTTTAGAAATGTTGTAACTGCCATTAAAAATGATAACTAGACTAAATCGCTCATATTAAATATCATAATTAATGTCAATAGTCCGAATAAAAGTTACATTAAAAAATAATTTCAATTTCTACGCCAAAAATTAATAAAATAAACAATTTAAGGTAGAGTTTTTAAATTTCAGACGGCCTTGAAATAAGCTAAAAGTCTTTCTACAAATCAGAAATTATTTTAAAATTCATAGAGCCAAAAATGATGAAAATTACTAGCACCTAAAAAACTTCCTTCATCCCACAAAAATATAGACTTACTTCCATTTTCACACAAATTAAGAAAATGTAATTAATATAATTGAAACAATAAATTTTACTTATATTTTTTCTAATATACATCCCTAAAATGAATAATGATTTAAATATGAATAATTTATATTTGTTAATAATAAAGCAGTATTAGAAAACTAAGAAATTAACAATACTCTCGACAAAAAAAAAAAAAGACCTGTAATTTGAGACAAATATAAAAGTAGACATATATTTATGGAACAGAGAGAGTACAACATAACTTCAGGCAAACTAGGTTCTACTGACTACCAAACATATGTTTGGTAAAGTAAAATGGATATATGTCATAATAAACTTGGCATTTTATACCACGTAATCATCATTTACACAACATAGTATAGCATAAACCCATACAAAATTGGGGTGTTTCATCTTGTCGAAAATCACATCTTTTGATCCCAGGATTACCCACTACCTCCGAGCCCTCAGTAAAATACACTCGCAAATCATCGATCTCTCTCCGTGCGCTGAAATTCCAAGTTAGCATCAACTATGCAGTACGGTTTCGCTGAAACTTCAATGTCATGTTTGGTTGGAGAGTATCAAAGAAGCTAAAGATCTTATTTATTATATTATCCAATATTGCATACCAAATATACACTAAGAGTTGAAGCAAAGTTAACTTCGAAAAATTTCTTTATGTACTTGGGTACATTTGTTCAAGGAAATGCTTTCAATGGATATCCTGTGTGCTACACTACAAGAACTATCACGATCAGGATCTACACATGCAAGGTGTCAAAGGGTTCTCCCAAATGTCATAGTTGGGGAAAGTTTCTTCAGGTAATCCAGTTCGAGTCTGGTGAGTAACAACAATGTCTTCCACAAAGGTAGCCCAGCCCATGTACGGGTCACCTAAAGACTTCGACATAAGACCTTTGTCAGGTTTTATGGATTTAAGGTGATGACCCATGTACCTACGAAATCCAATTATCAATTTAGCAAAATTTCCTCCGTGGGTCATCACAAAGACGTCAGACTTCAAACAGACCAAGAAGTCTAGAGCTGCCAAGCTCGTCACGTGCTTCCTGAATCCATCCAACTCTAACTTGGTTGCCAGTTCTTCCTTTGTAACCTGCCAACAATACTCGATGAAAAAGCTGAGTAAAGTATATTAAAAAAAATAATAAATAAACAAGAGGCTTCCAAAGGTTTCTGCAGATATTGCTTCTACTCTATTCATATTACATATAGAAAAAGTTGGATCCATTCAAAACGAGAACACTTCATAAATAGTGCCACTATTCGTGATTTTGCGTCTCACATATAGAATGAAAAGAAAAAAATAAACTTGAAGTAGCTATTGGCATTTTGACCCTTTAATAAGATAAGCTGTTAAAAAGCAATTGAGAAAATAACTTACAAGATTGGGGAACATATTCCGGAGTGGTGCCATGCGGTTCTGTCCACCATAAACCTGCCCAGAAGCAACATATATAGGAGTTTCTTTAGGATAGCCCATAGCTCGAAGCATCACGGCCACTTCACCAGGCTCGAGTGGGCACCGCCCTTCCTTCCGCTTCTGCAGAGCTAGAGCCCAAAGATGGGAACCATCCTGCAAGATAATGCACCAGAAAGAGGATATACATATTAGTTTTGCTATTTCTTCTTATATGGCACAAATTTCGAACGTAATATTGGTTACCTTGAACCGCCGAGGCCATTCTTTTTGTCTGTATAAAGCCATTAGAGCTTTCTCCGTCCTTGTTCCCACAAAATCACAAAATGATAGGCCCACCATACCTTTCTCAAACCTTAGATGAAGAGCCCTGATACATTTGGAAAGAAAATATGTATTGAAGTCTCCTCATGGAAAAGGAAAACGGAAATAGTTGAACATAAAACTAACTTCAGCCAAACTACCCCAAGACAGATCCAAAGTCACTCACATGAAAGGATTTAAACTGCCAGTTCGGTTTCTCATCCTTGATACTAGAGAATCAGCCATCTGCTCAATCTCAGGAAGAAACTTAAGAGCATGATAGTTTACCCTACACCTTAGCTTGTTGATTTCAGGAGAAACGTTATCGTACCTGATGAACAAGAAGAGTCATAGCAGTAATAAACTGCTATAGAATTGTAGATAAAGCTAATCGAGGTTATAAAAAGAATCATATTGTTTGAAACTACTTACCCCAGTCTATCAACAAAAGGTTTCAAGGACATTATCTTCTTCTCCTTGACTCTAGGCAAAACATTGTCAATGTAGAATTGTGCAGGAGCATATTTTGGAATGTTCTTGACTGTCCGTCTATCATGGATCATAAGAAATCATGGAATGTGTGAAATTATACTAGTCTATGCAATAAAACTGAGGCACTGGAAAATATAATTTTATTTATTTTTATATGGATCAAACTTCTGTTAAGATTTAAGCAGGCTAGAAACTCAGACATTTTCTTGTGTCCCTTGTTCACCATGCGACTCCAAGAAATTTCTACGAAAATTCACTTGTAATAGAAACTAAGGATACAATGGTGTCTCTCTTTGTTGCCTGTCAGAAGTTAAGCCGCTGAAACTTGAATACACCTAAAATTTCTTAAAAACAGATAGCATACCAAGTAAAATATCGACTCTTCAGTTTCCTATGAAGCAGTTTCAACCTGAGTAGATTACCTTTCTTAGACAGGGTCAAATTACCTTCCAATTGAATAACCTAAATCCGCAAGAAGAATAACTATATCCAGCATGTTCTACACCAAATAAACTTGTACAGAGTTATTATGCTCTGAAGATCCGTTAATAATTCTATGATTACATCAGCTTAGCAAATACATTCCTCCAGTGAAGTTCAGAACAAGCAATATCCAATTCATATATTAATACTGTCAAGTCTAAATTCAAAGCTCGGAAAAAAAAATGGTTTAAATGAATTGTTGAAGTTAGAATACAATAGTACACACACGTGCATACATATTCAAGAAAGAGAGAAAACGTGAAGTTCTCAAACCTGATGCTAGTGAACAGCTCTGATTTGTCAGTAAACCATTCTGGGATCTCCCGAACAATTTGCACATCATCTTTCAAGTAATCAATAAAATGATCTACATCAAATATGTCTTCAAATTTCCTGCAGATAATTGTGTATTTTCAGTACAAACCAGGTAGCAACTGGAGATTCTAATGAAGTCTGTATCTGTATTGCACAGTGACATGAAGAAGTGGAGAAACAAGACATTATATTCCAAAACTTTAAGCAGCCAGCTCCCAAAGTATCAAACTGGCTCAACTCACACAACGGAAAAGCCATTGTCAGCAGGCAAAACAAAGTTCCACAGAAAGATATCTGATTAATACAAGACGACTCAATCACAGAACTTGAATAGATAGATTAAATTTCGAAATGCTTTTTCTTTTTTCTTTTTCTTTTTTTTAGGGAAAAATCAAAATGTGAAATTTAGAAAGGCAATCAATTACGAAGAATAAGGTTGTTCCTTTAGCAGTTGAAGTGAGTGTCTATTTTAACTTTTAGTGGCTATAGGAAACAGATGACAAAGTCAAAACTATCAAACTTTTAAGGCAATGGGGCACTAAGAAGGATGCTAGTGGCAAATATGACATCTGCAGCAAAGGCATGGGGAATTACTTGAGTATTCTCACTATTGCAATCTCATCAAGAAGCATTGCAAAAGAAAATAATCAATATCACGGATGCCGTCCAAAAATTTGGTTTATAATTGTTCACAAAAATTGAACTATAACACAATGTAAGCAGTTTTAGCAGAGTTCACTCACGTTTGGTCCTTCCAAATCTGGTCCTGCTTCAACACAGGCAAGATGAGAGTAGCATTCATAATTTTGGCCACAGCAACAGCATTACATATCTGAATTGAAGCACAAGAATAGTCAAGTCCATAAATAGATTTCTTGGATCACTTTAAGTGTCGAAGGCCATTTAGCCCTTGTTTGATAGAAATTTATATTTAGATTTTTATCAAAGTCAAAATCAAAAATTAATTTTAATCACATATTTCATGGGATCCACAACTTTTCAATCGCATACTTCATAACTTTTATCAAAATCTGCTAAAAATCTAATTTTAATCTCCACCAAACATGGACTTAGTTTATTTGATAGGATCCCTTTTTAAATTTTTAGATGAATGTCCAAAGCAATACACTTCCTTTGGAACATTTTCCCTTCGTCAACTATGACATCGAATAAATAACAACACGTTAAATTCATTTAAGTTTCAAAAGGATCAAAAAGTGAAATGTGCGCAACCAAAAACAAATTATTATTGACACGAGAAATTTTGCTAGATTCCAGACAAAATGCATATTATAAGAGAAACATACGGCAATTCTTTGCTGGTTTAAACCACCCTCAGCATGTATGAAAATATAGCCATTCGTTTCATTCTCTGATGGAAGATCTGCAAGGAAACAAAACGATCATCATTCTTTAGAATGGCCATAGCATTTCTATTTCTATATGTAAGTAATTTTAGAGTCGTTTAAATATACATGCTGTAGCAAGCAGCCAAAAATAGAGAAATTCAATCTTACAGGGAAAAAAAATAAAAAAGGATACTGAAAAAAGGAGAAATTATATTTCTATATGCATATTGAATTAGAGACATTTAAATACAAATTCTGATTTAAAAAGTGGAAACTTCAGAAATGACAAGAAGATACTGACAGAGATAAGCTCTGTAATATCTATTATCAATAGAGCTTCATCTAGCCTATCACATTGGTCTATATTGAAACTAAAATAATGTGCGTTTAGTTTCAGGATGGAAACAAGTAACCTTAACTTATGTATTCTTTACATAGATATTAATTTAAGTTCTCGTAATGGTGCTATAAACACATTGAAAAACCGCAAGGAATAAAAATGTGCACATCATGGTAGAACATCATAAACGCCAGGAAATGGTTCCCAAAAAATTAAAAGGAGAAAGAAGAAGAGCGGGAACATGAAGTAATTTATCTAAAACTCTAGACCCTAACACTAAGAAATCATAATTTCCTCCTACTTTTTGTCTCTCGCCTCATATTAGATTATTGCATTTCAAATGTTAGTACATGTTAATCTTTGCAATTTAGGCTTTCCATGAATCAAATTGTTCAATCTAGGGTTATGGTGCAAGAATCAAAGCGTTCATTTTTGCAATACGTGAACTGCAATTTCTTGATACCATATAATTATGTAACTAATTGTTATTAATTTATGTCGGTTATCCATAATTAAATTATAAGCTCTAACATCCCTCATTTATAGATTGAATAAGATTTAGAGCTTGTTTGAGCCCCATTTATTTTGATGAAAATGTATTTTGGAATAGCATTTTGATGGAAAATGTGTGGATAAAAAATAAGGAAAAGTTTTCGGGTTGTGTGTAATATTATTTTATTGAAGAATACGTGATTGAAAATAAGAGAGAAAAAAAATGTATTGAGAAAAAAATGGCTACCAAACAATGGCTTATTAAGAAAAAAGCATTCTTCTCAAATTGTAATTTAATTTTTGGTGTTTTAATTTTCTCCCCTTTTTGTGGTTTTTAGTCTCCATTATTTTGAGTCATATAGCTGGATTTCTTAGCTTCTTAAAGATTTCTTCGCTAATTTTTCCCCAAATATTGTCGAGTAGTAGCGCGTTCGTTATACGTATTGAAACAGTCTATGTGAAAATTTATTAAATGTATTTTTTTTTTTGATAACCGTGGATGTCCGGGCCAGTTTGCGCGTACCTCGACTAATTCCACGGGGCTTGAAATTTACGGCCGGCTACTCACCTCAGTGGCCCTGAGGGGACTCGAACTGATGACCATTGGAGAGCAAACCTAAGGCCTAACAAATTGAGCAACTCCTCAAGGTTATTAAATGTATATATAAAAAAGTTATGGGTAGAACCGAACTCGAACCGGCGGTTTTAGTTTGGTTCCAATAAGTACAAGGACTCGAATAGTTCCATTTACGAAAGACCCAAAGTATAATAGGTTGTTCTGGGTTTTTAAATACTCGGACCGACCACCCGACACCCTTGTTTTATTAAAAGATGATGGAAAATCAATAAATGTTTACAGAAAAAGCAAAATAAAGGGACAACATAGTGAACATTGTTGGAGTGAATAAAAAAATTTAAGTAGAGAGACTCTTGAAGATGCTTTTAGTATTCTAAAAGAACGGGAGCTCGCAAATAGTTGTGTGTTCCATTAATCACATGTTATTTTTGCTTGACGCGAGCGACTAATAGAAGACTCAAGATCTATTGGGCACTGACCGCCGGCACTAGCTCCCCAATCCTATCTTCAGCTACTTGTTTCTGTTAGTCTACTTCTTTCTGTTAGTCGGGAAAAGTTTGAGATCCCTACTTGATAATAGAGGATTTATTGCTTACTTTTGGACAAGAAGTTTGAGTTTCTTTTGATGTCGCTGCTCTGAGAGTTCTCTTTTGAGTTCAACCCAAGCAATCGGGAAATGTTCATATTGCTGCTTTTTAGTTTACGAANTGCTTTTGAAAGAAATTTTTGTTAATGAAAAACTCTTATTTTTATCTCTAGAAAAACCTCATTTCTTGGTGTTACCAATCTATGTTTTTTTCCTTTTTATAACGAAAATATTCTCTAGAAAAGAAATTCGTAATGAATAGGAAAGGGCCTCTTTACCATTTTGTATAAATGGCCTCGAAGACGAGACAAGAGATGAGACTCCACTGACATTAAAAAGGCAATCAAGTATCCGACACAGGTCCAATTAAAATTTTCATCAATACACAAGGTTCAAAATTGGAAAGTTTTCCCCGTTTTCCAACTTAGCTTTTCTTCAGTGTGGTAAAATAGTCCCATTGTAGCAAAGAGGCCAAGTGTGTAAGTAAAATCTAGGATTTACACTGCTGCATTTAATTTACTCACCAAAAAAAGAGAACAATGAGAATAAAAATCCAAGCCCATCTCTGTGGCTTCAGATAAGGACGATAAAGTTTAAATTGTTTTTGAAATTAATATTTACTACACCTATCAGTGAGTGTTTACTCACTTGAAATTATGCCCTCACGCCGTGCAGAACAAGGCTTCCACGATGTAGTGGCTGAATAAGGGTTCTCCCATAGAGATGTAGACTCTTTTGCCTAGTTAAATTCAAAAATGTAAATTTAAACTGCAATCAAAACAATAAGATGACAACATAGAAGAAAAAGAAAGAATAATAATTCGAGTACTTACATAAGGACAGATAAGAGTTATGCCATCTTTTTGGCACAAATATGGAGCATTCTGCAACAGGTGGAGCGAGGAGGGAAATATGATAATCGTTAAAATTTGGACGAAACATTGACCACATATATGCATACTTTCAACAATACTCAATGTGTTCATTGCAGTAAATAAATAAAATGGCTAATCATAAAAAAAAAATAATAATAATAATAATAAAGGTCTTAGTCCATATCTATCTGAATTTGCTAAATTTTTCAACATTTTGCATAACAAATTCATAGTTTTCATAATGATGACATTTACCCATTAAGTGAGTACCAAATCTTTCAAACTAACGCAATAATATCACTGAAATCAAGGAATACATGAATCAATTAACATTCCACAAAACAGATGAAAAACAAAGCGAAGCCTTTCATAGAAATTACTTTTTTTTTTTTGCTATAAACAAAATTTGACGCTTATAAAAAGTCTTACAAATCTATTGAGGATAGAAGAAATCGAAATCATGGCCGCGAGAACAATTGCAACGAGTATAAAAAGCGAGATCTTGGAGTTGTGCGGGTGGGGCCTATGTAGATCGTCAATCGGGAAAATCGAACGAGGGAGGAGTGATAGAATGTAAGACCGGAGAGAGCGATCTCGAGGTTGTCGATCGCGGAAGTCGTCATCGTCGTCCGCTGCAGACGGATGATTGTCGGGGGACAATGGGGATGATGCCATCAGGGAAGCAGTAGGGGACGGCGTCGTCCGATTGCCGATGGAGCTTGAATGGCGGAGCTCCGCCGTCGCTCGCTTCGGGCTATACGCCAGCTTGACTGCTGGCTTCACTCGGCTTACCTTCGGCTTGTTAGTCGGCTCACTGTACTGTGTGTGTGAGAGAGAAGGGGAAGAGAACAATTATCTAGTGTTGCTGACACTGTTGGGACTGACTTCAGATAGTAGACAATGGCTACAACTACGGTTTCACGTTTGGGATTGGGATTGTTTGAGTAGCGGTGTTTTTTAAATTCATTTTTAATACATTCTTATAATAAAATAATAAATATTACATATAAATTAAGAAAAGAATTCTTAATTTTTAATAATGCATCTCCAAAAATCACTATTTAAACATCCATTTTTTTCTCTAAAAATCTATAATATATTAAATATTACATCAAGTGAGAATCATTTTTTGGACGATGTTAGCCGTACTATAATTTTATTATTTCAAAAATACCTTACTTTTCGTCTTTCAATATATATTTAATTGAATATTAATTATTAAACATGCACATAAATAAATAATTGAATTATATAAGAATCAATGAATGTAGAAAAAAATAATGTATATACATTTAAACAAATTGGGTGTAAGTGAAACACCATGAAATTAATTAATTTGAATTAATAGATATAGAAAATAATAATTTATATACATTTAAACAAGGAGGGTGTACATGGATCAATATGAAATTTAATTAATTTGAATAAATGAATATAAAAAAAGAATAATTAAAGAATAATTTATATATATTTAGATAAATGACGTTATATCATAGATTATTGAATAATATTGAAATTAAATAGGTGTACATGAACTTGAATATTTTATCTACTCTTATAATAATTGAATAGCTCCCAAGTTATATGATTTTTAATAATTTATATACTTCTAGAATAATTTATGATAAAAATGAATAATCTTGAAAATAAATACGTATTCATGAACTCACTTACTCATATAATAATCGAATAGCTTCCAAAACATGTGTACACGAATTTGATGATTTAATGTTATATTTAATATATCCAAATAAATGTTAATTAGTATACATGTACATACATAAATAATTGAATTGTAGTATTTCTAGAGTAATTGAACAATTCCCAAAATATATAAAGTGAACATACATGAACTTGAAGGATTAATTAATTGAATTATAGTATGATATATATAAATTAATGTTAATTATTATTCTACACGTAAATAAATCATTGAATTGTATTAAAAATCATTTCACATAAACAAATTTTTTAANTGATTTTCAAATATCATTTTTATAGCGTTTATAAAGAATTTCAAAATAACGTGCAACGCACTTTTAGCTATGGCTAATAGACTCAAAAGGGGCTTAATTAATGATTTTGTTTGATAAAAATTGATGATGCCATGTTTACCTAAGCTTACAAAATTGCTTATAAGTAAATAAGAAAGTTTTTAAATTACTTATAAGTAAAATAACAAAATATGACATGGTAAAGCAACATTATAATCATTCATGATTCACCTAAGGTCTTCTATTTATGGCGGATTTATAATTTTGATATGATGAAATCACAAGAAATGTCCACTTTCACATGGTTTTTGCAAAAACGTCACAAATTTATTCAATGTCCATTTTACAATAATTTAGACAAAAATAAACTTGTTAACAATTTTAAATTCTAAACTAAAAAAAAAAATTATATAATTAAAAATATAACATACACTACTTACTTTAAAAAGTACAAATGTCAATTAGTATTAAATGCTAACTGCTTCATTGGATTTAACAAATAATTCATACAAATTGACCCGATCCACAAACAGTTTCAAACCCTTTCAATTCCAAACCCTATCAATTGCAATTCAAATTTCAGATTCTTTTCTCTCGTGCAAATCTGTCTCACTCCCAAACTTCTATCCTCTCTTATCTCTTCTCTGCATGAAACTAAGCATAGTCGATCAAACACGTTCAATTACGAATATTACTCAATATAATTTGGATGTTAATTTATGGTGGAAATAAATCTTGGAATGAGAAATTTACATTTGAACTTAACGTTGGGAGTGTTAAACAATGTAAATCCATGCTTAATACCGTAAATGGAAAAGTACCAGACAAAAGTCGGAAACCGATATTTTATGATGCAAAAACTAGAAAAATGAAGACAATTGGAACTCATGAAGATAAATTCTTCCCACTTAGAGCTTAATTGTGCATGTAGAGCTTACCCTCAATCAAAGGGCTCAATCCCCTTGAAGAAGATGCAAAAGAAGATGGAGTCAACGAGAACTAAATCAAGGTTATGTTGCAAATGAAATCTAACTTAGTGTCTTAAATAAGAAATTTTTAGATTCATGTCCACCCTTAACTTTTAAGCTTATAGGTAAACTTTCATATCCTCGCTTATAGGTAGACTTTCATATCCTCTTCTAGAAATGTGACATGTTTACATGGTTATATGACATCATGAGTTACCTAAAGTATATTCCTTCATATGTTTGAGTTATCGGAAACTTTTGATATTTAATTTATGTTTTATAACATTTTTTGTGTAGAGTGAAGTGTTATGTAATACGTCGTGATTAACGGTTATCTATGGATCAGGCAAATGAAATGATTTGCCTTAAAGTGTGTTAATATGGTTGCTACAATTTTCACATATTTGGCATTCAATGCAACGAGCCTAGTGAATTATAATGGCTTATTTCAGGTCAGTAGCCACTTAAACAATACTTAACCCCTGTTTGGTTCGGATTAAAATCTGATTTTAATCCAAATCAAAGTCAAACAATCATTATTAATCACATCTTTTATGGGCTCCACAACTTTTCAACCACACATTTCAAAAAGTTCTATTACAATCTACTAAAAATCTAATTTTAATTTCCACCAAACACCCTCTTAGTGGGTTCTTATATTATTTGTCTTGTTTGTCTTGTTTGTTTTTGTTATTTGTAGATGACTTCCTCACATCGATACAAAATTTCAGATAAAGAGCGAGTTCCGTCCAAGATTTCACAGGTTAGCAATACCAAATACATAATAGTTATCATCAACAAACTTGATGCACAACAAAAGAGTATGTTCGTGGAAAGATTGACGATGTAGTTACAAAAATTGGGGGACACAAGGTGAGTGATGAGCACGGTAAATTTGGTTATGTTGACAATGTTGGAGATATGCCTATACGTGATTATTATGATGATTTGTCATTGCCCAACACTACAACTGATGAATAGCATGTCGAGGCAACCGAAGTAGATGCCGGTAATGTCAATGACTTGTCCAAAAAGTCCTTAGATACGGTTGCCATCATCGTAGATCCTCCTAACTTCAATGCTACATGGTCATGGAGACCTCAATCCCTCAGAGTGAAGATGCCCTGTTCTAGTACTAGCTCCTTTCACATAGTCCGGTCGTAAAAAGGGTAAAAAGGATGTGTAGTTAGTTTACAATGTTTTTGGAGTTTAGCTTTGCGTGTTTGGAAATTACATTTGCAACATTTTGTGTACCATCATTAGGTAGATTTTTTGCTTGATAGTACAGTTCTGAGTGTCGATGTAGAATTTAAATAGAGACAATAGCATTTTATTTCAGTACTGGCATGTTGTTCATATCTTATATTGTGTACACATTTACGAACTATCGTTCCTGATAGTTGAAATATCAATTGTCGAGAATAACATGAATTTAATATCGAGAACAACACTTCAAATGTCGAGAAATGTCTAATATGTATAGAACTCTCGGAATCAGAATGAAATCTCGTTCTAGATACAAACAAGGTTCAAATGTCGAGAACAACTTTTCAAATGACGAGAATATCATGAAATGTCAAGGACAAAGTTGAACCAATTGATGGATTGGTAAGATGACAATTAGACTAAAAAAAGTTGAAACAAACCAATTAAACGTACAAGTTCCTCAATATGATTTCAATCAAAGGTGTGTTATAAATCGATTATCATTAACAAAAAGCTCTCATTGTGAATATGGTATTGTGTTGACTTCGCAAGCATATTGGTAATAAATACAACTTTACTATTCAGATGAGAAACACAAGGTCCAAAACATATGTTATCAAACAAATGTCAATCAATTGTAATTACAAATTAATGTCAATCAATTGTAATGTAATTACACCATCCTTTACTCATCTATATAAGGATGCATATGGCTTGATATGCAATGTTAAAACACAATTCCTCACAAAAAATTCCTAACAGTAAAAACGCATTCCTTCAACTATGTCTTCTTCAACCGAATAAACTCCTCATATTGATGTTGTTATGAACCTCTCCCCTCTCAGGCTTTTGGTGAACAATCTGATCATCATTCGACTCGAAAGATGATGAACAAATGCATGTCGTTGTTCCCTACATTCCTCAACCTGGAAAGCGCCATCATTAGGTGAGTGTTCATCCAATTCATTTCCAGGTGCTAAGCGAACTTAGAGTTGGTGATCGTATTGCCGATTGTGAGATCATCCCAGTCGAAATCCCACCAGACGAACACCATCTTTTGTTTAGCATTTAGCACATCAATGAGTTGGTCGACAATGTTGGACCGGGTCCGGATGTCATGGGAGATGTCATCATCATAAGCTCTGACGACGAGGATAGTAGTGAAATATCTTCTCTATCCGTTGTTGAGGACATGTAGATGTCTTTGTATATCGTCATTTTGTGACCACTTCAAATAAAAAAAACTCATTGTCATTGTCATGATTTATGTTGGCGAAGTGGTGAAGTTAATGTAGTTTGACAGTTTACGAACTCCTCAAAATGATTTCGAATTGTCGTTGTTTGAAATTCGGTACATGGCTATATAATGATGTTGAAATCAAAATACTAAATTTATGTTTTGCATTGCTCTTTCAATGACTACCAAGTGTTGAAATGAACTAAGAAAATAACATAGAAATGCAAAAGTATATTATTAATGAATGACGAATTTGATATTAACATGAAT